CTCTTCTCCCCGCTATTTCTCGTGAGACCCCCCCCCCTCCTCCCCTTCCGCCATTGATAAATCAGAAAAATGCTAAAAAATTTGGAGTTGGAACATTTCGCACTTTCCAGAAATGTAAAATAACCAAATCAATGAGGGAATTGACACATTTGTTCAACAAAGACGAACCTCCCCCTTCCCTCCCTACCCCTTCTTCCCGCTATTTCCTGTGGGGAAAAGCGCTTCTCATTAAAAATAAAGGTCGATGAATCCGCAGGTTGTAAAATATACTAGAGCCACCAAAAAACAACATGTTTATCTCGAATGACAATATCACCCCACATCATCAGTTGCCAGGCGGAAAGTTCCGGACCCCGGAGATTTCGCCAAAAAAAATAAAAATTCGAAATAGAAAATCACTTGGTGTTCCTCTACGAATCATTGAGAGGCCACCAAAACCACATCTCCGACCCTCCAGTTGCTAGCAGTATCAGGAACCCGATATAAATTCTTCTAGATTCTTCACCGCCCCCCTCCCCCGTATTCGTATCCTATTATCCATTGAGCATGCTTAATGTGTTGTAGAAATTTTAAAGATACAAACAATGAATATTCCTAGCAAGGAGATCCCTGAAAAGGCCCCGCAAAATATCGGGTATCCTAAAAAATTTAACAAAAAACAATAGATAATTCAATGGCTAATATCAACCAAAGCAAGCAAAAACAGAAAATTTTCGAAGATGCAAAAAGAAAATTTTGCTTTATTTTCATATTGAAGTTAGCCGAATGTATCCCCACAAATTATGCATCTGTGAGAAAAAAAAAATTTACAAAAGGCATAATAACAACAGAGCAGTTCGTCAAAACTGTGGCAGAAACGATAAAAAACGCAATCACACTGGCTACGGATGGAACTAGCGCGTCGAAAACTGGCCTAGACTGAATCGTAGGAAAAATCGATGTTTCTTATCCCAAGATATAGTTAACTTCTAATAAAAATTTATGTCCATGGTACTAAAGAATCCACAAAATTTATATTTATAGTGTAAATTTGCTCCGTTCATACTGTGAGCTGCATTATTCACGTGAGCATAGAACAATCCTTTCCCTCACCGGCTCTGCCCTCTGTGTTTACAGTTTAGGGATGAAACATAGACAGAACAACAGCTAATGCACATACAGGCTCACTTATCTGGGTATTTAAATTGGCACTTCCTGCTTTCCCACAACTGTCAATATTCGACTGTGTCCCCCTCATCGGCGGGCCTATAGTGCCAAACAAACTTACATAGTGCGCATCTTAAAAATTTCCAAAATGCTTTTATCCCACCTTTCTCACTTTAACTTTCTATCTTCGGCCGTTCCACATTTTTATGCGTTCTGTGCTATACAACAGCTGCACAAAAGGCGTATTATCATGGGATTGTCTATGTGTTCGATGCATCTTGTTATTTCTTTGGACGATTTGTTTTAATATTACGAATCAGTCTTCTAACGACCGCAATTTATTACCCCCTATGCCCAGCTGAACTCGCATATTTTCCAGCCTCATCAAGGAG